GGGTAATATATTGACAGAACAGAACAATTAATCAATATAATGGGGTAGAGATAGTGCAAATACTCCTGATCATAGAGCTGCGCGGTGGCGAAGTCAAAATTCACGAACAGGCAAAAAGGTTTTATTGTAAACCAAATTTCGTCTACTGCGCCGTGGTCAGGAGTGTTTACACTATCTCTAATATCAATATAGATGGGTAATGCAGATAGGGACCGAGTGGATTTGATCATTTTGTTTAATGCTCTTCAGCATCTTCTTCCGCTCTATTTGTAATCTTCCTTCGAGATATTCGAATTGATCCGCTGTTTTAAAACTATATTCTCTACCTCTGCTACTTATTTTTAGCTCATCTTCGGGCTCCATTGTCTGTGCTCTTATTTCAAAGTATTTTGTATTGTTTTCGTTTGTGTATAGTCCACAACTTTTTAAATATTGTTTCTATTTGTTAAATATTCTTATTAGTTGTGATTTTGATCTCGGGATCATTGCTATATCATCTGCAAAAGTGATAACTTGTCTCTTGTAGTATATTATATCATCTGTCTCTACACCACTTTGTCGTAGGATAGCTTCTAGGATAAGGTTAAATAAAGTTGTGGACAGTGGATCTCCTTCTTTTTCCTTCTTCCTTCTTTCCAGGATCACTTTATTTAATGGTTCTTTTAAGGACTTTTTTTTTAGTTTGGTAGATATTTTCAGCAGATCCATCGCTTCGTATAGTTTTGTTCTGTCGATTAAGGCGTATGCCTGCTTGAAGTTGATAAAAAGAATGTGCAAAACCTAGATTTTGATCGTAGCTGTTGTGCAATATTTGTTTCATGGTAAAAATCTGATCAATGGTGGATCTGTCTCTTCTAAACCCTCCCTTATATTTAGCTATTGTTTCAGATGCATACCTTGTTAGTCGATTTCTTATTAATAAAGCCAATATCTTATTTGATAGATCTAATAGAGCACTTCGTCTATATAATTTTGGCATAGGCTTTTATATCCCTTTTTGTGGATCCGGCATATAGATGCTTTTTTCCAACTCTGTAGCAATTTCTCATTTTTCAAATTCGTTTTATTATGTTGTTTAGTCGTTTAAGTAATAGCTGTCAACCTTCTTTGAATTTTTTGCTGTGATACCGTTTTTTTTTCGAACTCTTCCTATTCTTTAGCTGCTTTATTATTTCCTCTATCTCCTGATCTGTTGGTTCGTTTATTTCGGCCTCATTATTGCTTTGCTCCGGTCCGATTTGCCCACGTTACTAGTTTTATGAGTAAGTCACTATTAGCGTGCCTTCTTTACACTTCTGTATAAGCATACTATTCAGGGACCCATAGCTTTATTGACATTAACCTCTTGGTAAAAATTCATAATATCTTTGTTTATCATATCCATTGCTGGACATAGATCTCCCTCATAATTTTCCACCTGTTTGTGCCTCTTGCATCCAAATTTTTAGGCAACGTTTTAGATCGTCAGTCTAATGTGTTGATGGAATACTCTGCTTCGATAGGAATCATCTCTTGGTCTCCATCCCAATATCCACTTTGTTAACCTATTATCTGTCATTCGAGCCACGTGGTCTGCCCAGTTCTACTTACGTGTTGCTATTCTTTCTACGGCATCAGAAACGCCCAACATAGCACGCTTCATCGCCCTTTGAGCCACACGAATGTTTTATACTGTTCTCCTTGTCATAGTCAACGTTTCTTCTCCGTAAGTCAACACTGGCAAAACACACTGAATACGGTTGTTCTTTTAAGACATACTGGTATGTCAGACGATATAAAAATGTGGTTCAACTTACCGAAGACTGCCCAAGTCAGTCTTATACGACGGAGAAGATCAACGGGTTGGTTACCTTTTCCTATGTGAATCTTGTGACCTAGGTATTTATAGTCCATTACTTGCTCTATGGATCTTGTTCCTATACATGTATCTTCGCTGACTAAAAATTTGTGATCATCTGGGTTTTAGATATATGTATGTTTATTCCCTCTTTTAGAGAGGAAAGGTCTTCTTCTCATGGCGCCGTTTATTGTCGAAGATTGGCTATCCAAATGGCAATTGTAGTTTTGGAAACTGCTGCGCGAAAGATTTCTGCGGATGAGAGGTCGAACCATCCCCTCAGGTCTTTCAGCCACGAGTTCTGGCGTCTTCCTTTTGATCTGTTACCCTGTACTTTTCCTTCCAGTATAACTTAAAGTAATTCATATCTTTCGCCTCTCAACACAACACATTACTGTTCAAAACTAAGCTTTTATTAATTGTATTTCTCTTTTTTGGTCTTTCTCCAACTGTTCGATTCTTTTATTTGCCTGATTAAGTTCTTCTCTAGGTCTGAATTTTTCTCTTTTAATTCTCTAATACAATCCAATGTAGTCTTTGTGGTTTTTCATTTTGATCATCATATCGTAATTCTTCCCCCAAAGTTCACGCGTCATTTTAAGCATATCCTTGTTTTGGGGACTGTTCTTGCCTGGTGACCTCTTTATTAATTTGCTCTTTTCAATTTCTTCACTCGGGGGATATTTTAATAAAATATCCGGAACCATTCATAAACCAAATGGATGAATACAGTTTTGTCCAATAATATATTATGTATACGACCTATACGACTAACATACCACACAACCATGTCCCAACCATCAAATTTTAGTCCACTCCAAAACTTTTATTTCAACACAACATACTCTCCATCTCTCCCCTCTTCTCTCCATTTAAACCAAACTTCAAGTCCAACCCTCTATACCTAATATTGTCCATGCTTCTTGTCGGCCTTCCCCCCTAAAATTCTAGACTATTCAGCATCCCTTTCTAACAAACAATCCAGTCCTCTTTTTACACTTCCACACAATTTCCTTAGAGTTTGGCAGCGGATCTCTGGTGATCTCAGCTTTCTGTAGTCGTTCCATATCTCGCTATTCTCCAAAAAACACCATAATTTTCTTTTTTACTTAATTTGAACATAGCCATCAATAACCGTTTCAATTTTAAAGTTAAGGTGAGTACACACCTTAAACTCATTCAACTTATAACTTATCCCTTTAATTTTTTCGCATGTACCTAGTGTTGCTTTATGACAGATAGGGCTTTTTTAAGTTATAATTTGAATACTATACGATTAACATACTACAAAACCATGCCCCAACCATTAAATTTTGTTTATTTCATACAATAGTTCAATGAACACCTCAAGACCCTCATATCCATAAAATTAAATCACACAACTTAATCATCAGTAAAGATGACACAATAAATTTTTTCGTTTCACTTAATTTCAACAGAGCCAACCATTCCATCATCACAATTAAAGTCAATTTACACCTACAACTAATTCAACTTATAACTTATCCTTTTATATTTCTCATGTACCTAGTGTGCTTTATGACAGATAGGACCTTTCTTAAGTTATAAGTAGATTACTATACTATCAACATATTACATAACCATGTCCCAACCATCAAAAAATCTTTTGTCCATTACATATAACAGTTAATACAATAAAACTTCCACACCATTTAGTCCGTTACCACCTATTCAGACATTTATGTTCATGAACTTATAACTTAAAAGTTGCACATTTATTAGGTACCAAATGTTGTTTTTTGACATACAGGGCCTCTATAATTGAGTTATAAGTTAAATATCACGTGAACATTATACTACAAAAGTTTTATTTTATTCATTCAAGAACACTTGCATTTTTAAATAAATACATTCATATCCAACCATTAACAATAAAATTTTTCTAGAATTCAAGCTCCCATATGTGTCTAGTTTCTATTTTCTGGGTACCAAATGTTTAAGAAACATAAAGAGCCTTATATTAAAATCTTTTTTCACTACATTACTGTACACATGTATACATTTTACTTTCTACATCTCATCCTATATACATAAATTTAAAACAACAACATTGATGGTTGATACTGTTATATTAATTTATTTTATTTTCACAATTTTAAATAACGTTGGCTTTTGTCTTAAGTAGAAACATACAGTTATATTGACTGCTCTGTTACAACTTCCGTCATAACTTAACAACATTGTCATTAAATGTCATTGCCAATCAGTTGCTCCCATACAGTCGTCTTAGACACACCGTCTCAAGACTAGTAACTTCAACGTGGAGTCATATGTCGCCATGTTACCTAATCCAACGGTAACTTTAACATCTTAAATCATTATAAGAAATTTTGTAAACTAAATGTAATTAATTATTTGTTAACGGGTTTTTACCCATATATTTAGTGGCTACTTTCATGTACTCCTAGTAAGTATTAACCACACTTTGTATTAACCTTAGTCAAAATTTTAAACCTATGTTCTTTTTAATTAAGTGGTTAACTATTTTCTAGGACACTGATGATGGAATATGGATTCCGAAAACGTTTTGTCTGTTTAACTTAGCCCGATTGGGTTCTTAAATATATACCTTTTACAAAGGATTTTTAATTATATTTTTTATATATGGTATACAGCCAACTACAGGAACGTAGATTCCTTGTGGATTTGCAAATTAATCATTTCGAAGAGAAAAAATTTCATAGCCAACAAGTCTTGCGATCCAAACCAATGTTTTTCGTACTTCCTTATATGTATTAAAAATTTAATTTATTCAACACTAATTTATAATATTGAAAAATTGAGAATACCAACGTGTGAAGAGATCAATAAATGTTGCATACAGTTTTTGTTCGATCGCGATGAAGAGAAAAATGCCAAGTAATAAATGTCATTTTGTGGAATTAGTTGTGGTACATATCCAAAACATTTAAATTTTAGAGTCTGCTCCATTGGTTATTCGATCGCTCATTAAATATTAAGTTGAGTCATATGATCAGTGATCAACTCAATAAATTCGATTTGTTACGTTTTCGTTATGTTACGTTTTGTTTCCTTTTGTTTCTTTTTGATTCATTCTCACATATTTTCGACCGTTATACAAACAAAAAGAGTATAATGCACTACTTGACATGTTCTGTACTTACTATTTTTGTTTCTATAGATACAGGTGCTACCGAGTTGTTGGGTTCCGAAACCCACTCCAAAATCCAACCCGTTTCCGAATCTCCGAAAAAATTACAACGGACCATATCCGGAGCAGCAAATACTTCTTCTGCAACTGATACTAATACTAATTTTAAAATTCTAGAAAGTCCAAAAGAACATTTCAGCAACTACGTCAGCAACACACAGGAAGAGATCGACATGTTGCAGGACATCTTGAATAATCTCACGTCGAATGACTTGTCTGGAATACTCGCAAACCAGCCAGGTCAACTTTCTGAGGAAGATATATCTGCTATCAATGAAGAAATCGAACACGAGAAAGCTGTTGATGATATGCCGGTCGAAGAGTTAGACGACGATAATAGAGATGAAGACGTAGATAAGTATTTTAAAACGCATTTTTTAGATTTGGACAATGTTTAGATGTGTTTAGTTAAGGTTTAACGTATTTTACCAAATAATGTTAATATATTGTATCGGGTTATGTGTTAAATGATTTCCTTTATAACATTGAATCGTTTGAAAGTATTTTATTCTAATAAACTTTGTATCAAAATATTTGGATTGTTGTTTTTAATCCTTATCCTCTTTAATGAAGCACTTGCAGTGGGATTGCTACGTAAGTAATAAAATATGACACAAATGATATATAACTGCTCATTTACGACGTTCTATTACTATATATTGGGACTTCTTTGTCATACTAAACTTCTGATATGAAAGTAACAAAAAATATAATCTGCCTAAAAAATTAGATGACTGTCTTTCGTGGCAACGTTATTATATAAAGCATGATCCAAAGCATAAAATATTAGAAGCTATCTTTTAAAAGGTGGCATATAAAATAGAAAAGGTAATTCAATTACTATATAACCCTAATGCAAGGGTCATAAGTCAAACAAGTTTGAAACAAAGGAAGGATTGCGACAAGCAGACCCACTATCAACGACTCTTTTTAATTTATTACCCACTATTAACGATTCTGGAAGGAATAATCAGAAAAAGCAAAGTTAATATGCACGAAATAATATTTAAAACGATAATCGATATAACACTATTAACAACAAATAAGACAGAACTAAAAATATTATTGAACAATATAATAAAAGAGGCAAAAAAATTGGACTTCTAATAAACAAGGATAACAATGGGAGAAACAGATAAAAAGAAGATAATTTCACATTGGAGATATGAGAAAACACATGCATGATCTAAAGAGCTTCAGAATTTACTTACCTGGCTCTAAATCTGGATGAAAGGGGACATAAGCAAGGGGAGATAAAAGCAAGAATAGCAAAAATAAACAAAAAGTATGGAGTATTACGATCATAAATGAAATCCGAATACGTCTCAACAAAATCCAAAAATTAGAATCTACAAAACAGTGATCAGGCCTACAGTTATATATACATGCCAAAAAGGGTGCTTAAAAAAACTGAAATAGACCTTTTAGAAAGATGGGAGAGGAAAATACAACCAGCAATATATGGAAGTATGAAAATAGATGGTCAGTGGAAAAGAAGGAATAATAAAGAACTATAAAATGAAACAGAACTGAAGGAATTGGAAAGGAGAGAATGCCGAAAATGCTGCTATCACGGCAACCAGTACAAAAAAGAAGAATGGGTCCAAGAAAGAGATAGAAGGACAGCATATACGAAGACTTGCAAAAAAGTAATATTCAGAATTGGAAAGAAAAATCATTCGACAGAAATCAATGGAAGGAAGTAGTAAAGAAATATATGGAAAGAAAGAAATTTTCAATGTCTTCTTCTTTTTGTGTCTGTTTTTCAATGTGCCTTCAGTAAGTGGTTTGTTTATTTTAAATCTATTTTATATAAGTAAAAACTAAATTACTAATTGTAATAAAAAAATAAAGTTTTCAGCCCTAGGCCTTTAAGGCTTGTTGAGCTTTATAAATAAATAAATAACCCAATTACTAAAAGGAAAGGACAAATCGCCAATGTGACTTTCTGCACTTACTTTGTAGCGTGCAAACCCACTACTTTCTAGCATTTATTTTCAAAGACCCACTCTGTATTTAGAAGTCCTCATGAATCCCGGTTTAGCAGTTTTGGTTTATATTTTAGTAAATATTTGTTATTCAGTCCATTTATATTTTCTTTGTCTGCCCGGTATATTAATTTGATAATTTTAATAGTGATTCCCGATTCAGTTTCAAGATATTTCAAGGTATTTCCGTTATCTCAAATAGTATTAATTGAGAAAATAGTATTTTAGTTTGTAATTTTATTCTTTAATTGTTAAATTATTTCCAATGAAAAGGTCATTCTTCGTAGATACTGTATTCCGAAACAAATTATTTATCAAGTTGTTAATTTTTTGTAATTTTAAAACATTCAAATTTAGTTTGTTTCAATATAAATTTCGAATCACATTACGAACCAAATTAAAACTGATTAAAAAACCCACAAAGTAGAATTGATATTAAGAGATTAAGGGAACCACAAAGGAACAAACTGTAAAAACTCTTACTGAAAATCTACGTAATGCCCAAGAACTGAATAAAAATAGCTATAACATTGATCAGAAATGGGAAAATATAAAAGCAGCAATAATTAAAACAGCAAATGAAAACTTAAAACCAAAGAATAGAAAACATAAAGATTGGATGACTGAAGAAATACTACTATTAATGAATGAAAGAAAATCATTCAAAACAAAAAATCCAATTAAATATAATGAAACTGATCGATTAATAAAAAAGAGAATAAAAGAAGCTAAGGAGAGAATGTTACATGAGCAGTGCCAAGTACTAGAAGAAATTGAGAAAAATATGACTTTTTTAACATGCATAAAAGAATTGCATAACATGCATAAGAGAATTAACAGCAATGAGAAAAACACTTCAAACTAGGCAACTAAGAGATGAAAGGGATGCACTTATAACAGATATAAACCAAAAAATGCAGAGATGGACACAATATATAGCACAACTATTTGAAGACAAAGAGAGAACAGTAGCACCAAAAGAATTTAAGGATGATACTGGGCCTGACAATATATGCGAAGAAATTGAATATGCAATGAAACAAGCTAAAGGTGGTAAATCTCCCGGGCCTGATGAAGTTCCTATCGAATTACTTAAAATTGTGAATACTGAATCTATTGATCTTCTTTTGGATCTATTCAATACCATATATAGAACAGGTATAATACCTTAAGAATGGCTCCAATCATCATTCATACTGCTTCCCAAAAAAGCCAATGCAAAGGAGTGCAATGAACATCGCACCACAGCCTTAATGAGTCATGTCTTGAAATTGTATTTAAAAGTAATTCACAATAGAATACATAAGAAATTAGATGAAGGCATACGTAATACACAAATGGGATTTAGGAAAGGACTGGGAACACGAGATGCACTGTTTGCAGTAAGTGTTCTTTCGCAGAGATGCTTAAATATTAATCAGGAAGTATATGCCTGTTTCATTGATTTTGAGAAGGCATTTGACAGAGTGAAGCATAATCGACTTAAAGAAATTTTATTAAATAAAAACATAGACAGTAGAGATATTAGAATCATCTGTAACCTCTATTGGAATCAAACAGCAAAAGTGAAAGTTGAAAACGAACTAACCAAGGATATCCAGATTCGCCGTGGGGTCCGCCAAGGGTGTATTTTATTACTGTTATTCAATTTATACAATGAAGCCATCTCAGAATTAGTGCTTGCCGAGATCAGTGAGGGCCTTATAATAAACGGTGAGTCACTTAATAACATAAGATATGCTGACGACACCGTCCTTCTGGCAGGAACACTAGAAGAACTTCAACACCTTGCTGAACAACTAAATATATATTGCAACGATTATGGACTAAAAATCAATTTGAATAAAACCAAGTTCATGGTATTTACAAAAGCACAAAACATCAAAGTTAAGCTAGTACTAGATATACAGAAATTGAACAAATATCTTCGTACAAATACCTTGGAGCATGGATCACAGAAGATACTGATCAGACAAAAGAAATAAGATGCCGCATTGAAATTGCGCGGTAAACTTTTAATAGAATGAGAAAACTTTTTTGTAATCGCGATATCAATATATCGCTCCGGATAAGAATGCTTCGATGTTATATTTTCTCTACCCTTTTGTATGGAGTTGAAGCTTGGACACTTAAAAAATCCAACATTAAAAACCTAGAAGCATTCGAAATGTGCTGTTACCGACGCATTTTGAAAATATCATGGATGGATCGCAAAACAAACGAACAAGTTCTCGAACAACTAGGAAAACAATGCGAAGTTTTAAATTCCATAAAGATCAGGAAATTGGAATACTTGGGGCACATCATGAGAGGTGAAAAGTACAAACTACTAAGGAATATAATGCAGGGTAAAATCAAAGGTAGAAGAAGCGCAGGAAGACGTAAAATCTCGTGGCTACGCAATCTCCGTGAGTGGTTTGGATGCAGTTCAATTGAACTATTCAGGCGAGTAACCAATAAAATAATTGCCAGAATGATTTCCAATCTCCGATAGGAGTGGAATTTGAAGAAGAAGAATATAAATTTCTACTTCGTTATATGTTGGCATTGACCTTTTTATAATTTTTTTGCTCATAAATATTCTCGCTGTAACGTTCAGGTTTATTTTGTATAGACTCTGTCAAGTAAGTTTGATCTATTCATCCTAGTCGGCACTTAGGAGAAATGCGAGGCTCTAGCCAGTGAAAGAGCAATTGTAATTATTGATTATAAAGCTGACTCCGGGCAATCAAATGGATCCATTTGTCTCAGACGAGAAAATGTTGTCATATCAAGGCCAATGGAGTAGAGGAAAGTCCAGCTGGTGTTTGTGCACTCTAAAGCCTATTGAAGAAGATCTTGAGGTGTAAATAATCCATTGCATAACATCAGAAGAAGCCTTCAGCCCCCAGCTAAGTTGCTTAATAAAATCTATTACTTTTCTGTCAACAGAGACAGATTATTTTTATATAAAGTAACTTCCTAAATTCTAAAATGTAGATCTTGAATTGTGCCCTTAATAATATTAATTATACCGAACTTCTGCCTTTTTACTGATAGTGTATTGACAACATGACAACTTTTAGTAAATAGGAAAATATAAAAAAAAAATGTATGAAATTAATGAAGTTTTACACATGAAAGTGACCATTGAAGCTTTTAGAAAACCGAATTTGATTCCACAATGTAAACGATGTCAAGATTACCGACATACACAAAATTATTGCAGAAGAGAACCGAGAAGCATAAAATGCACCGGTAAACATTCAGTGGGGATCTAGAAATTTTTATAGGGGGGCGTCATGGGTCTTAGTCTTAGGGATGACCATTTTCATAATTATTTTAAGTGATATTAAACCAATATTGAACTGGCAAAACAAGCCGAAATAGCTGCACAACACAATAGAACTAGAGAGCTATACCAAATTACCAGACGTCTAACAAAAAGTGGGCCCAACTGTTCAAAAGTCGTAAGATCCAAGACAGGAGAACTACTTACTACAACAAATGACCAAATAGAGAGATGGAAAGAGCATTTTCAGGAGATGCTAGGCACGCCCAG